TGGGATAATGGAAAATAAAATGGAAGCTACTATGGTATATTGGGGTTATATTGGGATAATGGAAAAGAAAATGGAAGCTACTAGAGTATATTGGGGTTATATTGGGATAATGGAAAAGAAAATGGAAGCTACCATAGTATATTGGGGTTATATTGGGATAATGGAAAAGAAAATGGAACCACTATAGTATATTGGTTTGCCTCCTGCCCAGCGCGCGAGGAGATCTTAAGGCATCCCGCTTCACACGGGACAGTCCTTCAAGAGCCTCTTGGCGCATTCCAAGTAAGAAGTTCCGGCCGCGGCTGTCGGTGCATCTGCCACAGGCGGGACATGTATACATAAGTACACTCAGAACATGGCGATAAGGAAAACAGCCAGGATCATTACAGCAATACTAGTAGGTAGCTTTGCAGTACCGATCATATACAACAGCAGGACTACTTGTCATTTACAGTGGCAGCAGCAGCAGCCCCTGTCATAATGCAAATGTTTGTGAACCTGCCAGCAGCCATGAACATGCTGAAATCTTGGGTTATCTCCCTTCGCCATGGAATTGTGGACATCCACGGCTACGCGCGGCTCGTTGCAACTTTAAATGATATTCTCTCGAGTCTCTAAAGCATTTCATGTTGGACTTTGCACTGTTTGTACATCAGACTTTCAGATCCTGGCCGATGAGGTCATGCTTCTATACTTCCGTGCCAAACATCTCGTTAACGGCTTTCTGGTTTGCTTTCTTCATAATGTCCCCTCTCCTTAACATCCTCTTCCTACTGCTTCTGCTCCTGTTGGTCACTGCCAGGACCGCCACAGCTCCCGCCACCACTGCCGCTGCCAAGTGTGCCCCTTTTGCTCCTACAGTTTTCCACACTCGTCAAGCAATTGACAACTGCCCTTCTCGGCGTTTATAACAACATGAGTCTCTAGGATCCTGAGTTGGACGGATGACCCAACAAGCATGGATGCCATCGTGTGCCTGCCAAGTCTTTCGTTGTTGCCTCCTGTTTCCTTCCAATCAGCTCACACGCAAAGCATGTTGGAAAAAGATGTGAACTGATCATAGTGGTTTGCTGCCTCCCCCTCGAGCGCTGAAGCCTTTCGACCTCGTGTTGCATGAAGAAGGTTGAGGAGATGCAGTTCGCACACATTAGCCTTCGAGTTTTAAAGCCTGGGAATGTTGCCCCAAGGGTTTGGAGTTCAATGTAGAAGCCTCGAAAATTACGAATATTCTTCCGTCACGGACCTTACAGCTCTCCTGCTAGAAACAAGATGTGATAGCGTGGTCCCTAGGGTGCTACAAGACCTCAGTAATCCCTTCCCTCTGATATTGCAACCAGCCCACCCCCTTATTGTGAATGTTTCAATATTGGGGGGGTTCGGGGGTCAATACTAGGGGATGATACTAGAATACCATACTGTAGTTCCTAACGCTTATGCTCAAAAACTAGGGTCCCAAAAAGACTTGCAAATGGGGGACATGGTGGATGGTGAACCTCAACATCAAGACACCATGATACCTGATTGCATACCGGCGCTCCTACCACTCCAAACCAAAAGAATGAGCCTCCTGCATTGCAAACCAATCCAAAAACAAGCCAGCACCGCATGGTGACCCTGTGGGACGATCAAATTTTAAATGGTCAGTCAGCCAGGGGCAGCTGAGCGCTAAACAATGGCAAAATCATAGCAGGAAAACATCTCCAGCCCAAGCCCTGGAACAATGCACTGACATCCTACGGTCTCTCTGAAAAATCAAAAAGGGAGTTAGAGGTCCTGAAGCTTTGAGGTTACGGGTTAATGCCCAAAGGATGGTTGAGGGCTAAGTAAATACATTATGCTAGGGAACAAGTGTGTAATTCCTAGCGGTTCTCAAGAAGGACTATAGCATTCTGAGCTAGATTGAGGCCCCTGCTCAGGGAGGAGGAAGATGGCTACCAACACAGCGCCCAACTTGAACAGCACCATCAGGATCAGGAGCTAGGCGATCGGGATTCCGGTCCAAGGACTCTGCTCACAGGTTTAGAAGCCTGGAACTTGGGGCCTGGGGCTTGTAGTGGTGATTGTCAAAGCCTCAAATACAATGCTTCAGCATGATATTCAGGGTCAGAATGAGCTTACTTCTGTCCCAACAATTTGAGACATAGTGGGAAAAGGCCATAGTAAAGTCACCAATACAGCAGGACACATGGCACCCAGTGAGTTAATGTAGGGCCCAAGCTGGCACTTTGTGGTGTGCGAAAAGTCTCGGATGTACCTTCTGAGTCATGAGACTTGAGTTCAACCTGGGTGCCAAGCGCAGGCCATTTACTTTGAAATTGTGGCCCGGTCCATGACATTCCACTGTTGCGGTGAAAGAAGGCGTGTTGTGTTTGGCTGCGGCGGCAGGCAGCGTTTTTTGTGGCTGGCGACGCTTTTTCTTGTTGGGCGTGGCGATGTTGACTTCTGGCTCTCTCAGGGGGGGAGCGAATCTTTCATTTTGCTGCTGAGCCTCGGAAGGCTTTGTTTGGTGCTTGGGCAGGAGACATGGCTTCACTAACTTTCCAGCTTTGTCTCGCTTGGCGTGGACCTGCGAACTGCTACAACAGGATAAAAATATTGCACGATCCATCCCATAAACAAGTTTCAGGCTTCCCAAACCATTATCCAAAGCTGCAAGTAAACCCTAACCCGATCGGCCGGGAGTCTGCAGACGGGTTTGTCACGACCTCCCCTACCGCTGGCGCCACAGCGCTCTGCACAGCCGGAAGGGGTACAGGGTTGGGGTCCGGGGTTTAGGCTGTAGGGTGAGGGTTGCGGTTTGGACCAGCATCATAGGACCTGAGGCTTACAAGAAGGAATCACGTAGCACACGCGAAAGAAAAGCCATGGTTTAGCAGCAATTAAATGAACAAAGAAAACTGCGCCCTGCACCCTAATCCTAAGCCGCCCAAGCCTAGACCCTATTAAGATCCTGAACCCCTCCCAACCTGACGCCAACTTTGACAATTTTAAGGGAGAACACATGCCTGCCTCCAGGATGGTTACAGACGGTTTATTTTGCTTTTTTAACCCGTCGGACTTTTACGTCTGCGCGAACGCAAAGGCGTGTTTTTTTGAAAGGGTTTAGAGAACACATGCCTGCCTCCAGGATGGCTACAGATGGTTTAGGGTTTAGGGTTTGGGCGAACACATGCCTGCGTCCGGGATGGCTACAAACGGTTTACGTAGGGTTTACGGTTTAGGGTTTGGGAGAAAACATGCCTGCCTCCAGGATGGTTACAGACGGTTTAGGGTCTAGGGCGTGCGAGAACACATTCCAGCCTCCAGGAGGGTTGCAGACGGTTTAGGGTTTAGGGTTTAGGGCTTGCGCGAACATATGCCTGCCCCCAAGAAGATGGTTACAGATGGTTTAAGGTTTAGACACGCGCATCGCACAGAGTGCAGGCACGGCAACGGTTTAGGGTTTAGGGTTTGGGAGAACACATGCCTGCCTCCAGGATGGTTACAGCTGTGATAATGCCGAAGAAGGTCGTCCGGTCGTGCTCGTCCGTCATGTCCATGGCCCAGATGCTGAAGAGAACCTGGCTTTAGAAGTCTGTGGTTACTAGGGTAGGCTTGGCGGCCTTGTAAAATTGATTTTTCGTGGCGTTGTACGGATTATATAGGGCTTAAGAGTAATCCAAATTCTTTTTAAACCTACCGAGGTTAAACGTCTAGGATTCTGGTTTTGGACTTCATGGGCTGGGGGCTCACGATTCAGCATTGGCAGTTTGGGGCTTTAGGGATAGGATTTGTTCAACCTTCTGACTCTGCCGTCTGCCGAAGGACCGGCGGGTTCAGGGTGTCTGGCTGGCCTTAGATAATGGGTTTACTTGCTCGGGCTTTGGGGTTCGGAGCTCCAGGAAAATCATGAGGAGCCTTGCCAAGAACAGTTCCAGGGCAGGTGCCAATATCATATCATGCTCGTTCAAGGATGATGAGGTTACATGAGGTCCACGTATTTAAGCTGGCTAGAAGGGCACCCACTTGATGAGCACCGGTGCCTGAAACTCTACAGGTTTGACAAAACATGCGTCCCCAAGTTGTAGAAGGCTGCAGAATTTTGGCGGTCTGATCTTAAGAAATTCCAACTTAGAATGCTGAACGATTTGAGTGGAGCAACTGGGTAGCCAGCGTAACTGCGTCATGGCTCTGGAGAGATGATGTTCCGGATTGATGACGCTCTGGTCCTGTTAATACTCATCAGAAATCGTTTGCTTGACCCAAAAAATGTGGTTCCTGTGAAACCGCAATTCGTGAACCTTGAAGGATACCCGAGAAAAAAACTTGTAAATGTTTGAAGCGGCCGTGGAATGCACCCAAACGTTGTTTTGTAAAAATCCCCTAGAATGCAGTCGAAGCGTGCCATGTGATTATTGCAATGAACCCAAAGGGTCAAAAAGAGGAATGTGCCGGATGCTGAGGGTGACGGCAACAAAGATGATACCAGAGTACCAGAGCATATGCAACTTTCCCAACTCAATCCCTACGCCGTACGCATCCCTAACGGGGGCCCACTATCATCCTTTTACAGTCTCCCTCTATCCCTGTTTTTCAGGCATCCTTGTGTTGAGGAACTAATATGCCGGCCAGGATACACCGCTGGGGACCAAGGACTGGAGCAGAGATCCCGCATAGAAGAGGTAGAAGGGCCATCTGGAGAGTGCCAGAACATCTCAGTGTATATCTCAGTAGTTTGGGCTTGAATTGCTTCCAAGGCCAAATGTTTAGGGTCGAGCCTTTCGGTCCATTTTGGGTTCTCTACTTTCCAGATAAAAGTTGTTCCTTTGGCGCTCCGCATTTGCGGGCTTCCAAGGGGCGTAAAGGTGGGAGGTTCGCGGTTTAAGCTTTGAAGTCTGCGCCTGGGGCCGACTAGCAGATTACAAGCCAATCATTGCAATTCTGATGTAAACCATGCCTGCCTCCCTTCCCACGTCCTCATTTTCGTCACAAAGATGAGAACAATATAGGAAATGTGCGAAACCAGGATGGCACTTTGCAACAGAAGCTGATGTTACAAGAATTGAACAGATGTAGGATTCCCATGTCAGTTGCGCGCCTGAGGTAGTACACGAGCAGGATAGATAACGAGGAGATCTTGCTTGCCAGCACCTAGGCTTTCAAAGTCAAGCATGGTGGAGGGTCAACTGAAAAGAACCCTCACATCAGCGGCAACTCCGTGACCCTCTGTTCCGCGACAAATGTTGCAAATCCATGTCTTCAACAAGCAAAGCCAACCGTTTTCCGCGCTGACCCGTCCGTTGCCCCTGCGACAAGCAGGATAGAGAAAGAGCTGCTTGTGAGCATTGGTCACCTCCGCAGCCAAACACACCTCCCCCCGAGATTCTAAAGCTTAAGTCTTTGCAAACAAGTCACTTCTAAACTTCAAGTGCTGCCTCACCACCAGTGCGACTCCAACATTTCAAGGGGTGTAGTGTCTCACACCAGGGGAAAGAAACTACTGAGGCCTCGTGCACAAACAGCACCGAAGGAAGCGGAGGCCGAGAGAGATTCGAAAGCGCATGGATGCGCGGGACAACAAGTTTCCGGCTTGACCCTCGAGAGAAATGGAAAAACGGTCAGGAGAGTGAAAAGGATCCTGGTGATGGCAGTGTGAGGCAAAGGCCAAGAAAGCACCAACCCTCCACTCACATAGCTATTACGGATTGGACAAATCGTGGTCCTGGCCAACATTGCAACAACGCAGCTTTGATGCTGACGTTCGTGCTTGATCCGACATCCACAATTACCACCATGCTACTGCACGCCCGTACAATCCGACATGTTTACTCGAAAATTTCCCCTATGTCACCCTATATTACCCTGTATAATCTCTATAACCTGTATAACCGTATATATCCCCGATATACCCCCGTCTTTTGCGAAGCCCTACAGAGGCCGAAAACCTGGGTCACTAGGCAGTCAGGTTTCGACTGCATCCCCTCTCAGCACTTCGCCTTTTGGCCGACTCACGCAGGCCAAGTCTTTCGCAGGCCTCTCTGCCCAAGCCTACGGTACACCACACCTCGCAAAAAAGGCTTGTTATCTAGGGTTATGTTTAGGGTTCAGGGTGGTTAGGGTTTTTAGGCTGTTTAGCGTTTAAGGTGTTTAGGGTTGAGGGGTTCTATAAGGCGATGAAGGCTTGCATAAGCTTACATAGGGCTATACAACATTACAAAACTAGACAGGGCTTAGGCTTCAGGGATATTACCCCCAATCATGGAAAATCAATTACAAAAAATGAAACGGAAACTGGAGCTGCATATTGGTTATCTGGTTATCTCAAGGGATGATGTACTGTACGGGACAAATCATCGCCAATATCATTTTGAAGTCTGATGCGAGGTACCCTGTACTACTCCGGTACTATAGTTGTACATGGAAGCTGGGACATTGATAATGTTCGGAAAAATTCGGCTGCTATACTAGGGTTCAGGGCTAGCTAGCCAGCATCCAGAATATGGTCGAAGAGCATAAGTGCGTAGGGTCGGGCGCTGGCAGGGCGCGTTTAGAGCCTCAAAACAATCTGGGGACTTCGGCATGGGTGGGTTGGGGACTATTATGGAATTGGGGAAAACACTGCCCTACCTTCTCCCACGCCCTGCAGTCTAAATTCCAAGCCTGAAACCTTTCAACCCCCAACTCCCACACTCCTAAGATGCTAGACCTACACTACACCCAAATCCAAGACCCCATGATATATCTATATACATATATGCATGTAAAAAGGCGTGCATGTTCCCATGTTCCCTACTAACCCTAAACAAAACCTTCCATGCCCATCCAGACACCACCGCATGTAGCATGGATCTGGTGGGCAGACCGCGGAAGAGGCCGAGGATGCCATGCTTCTGGCAAAGTGTGTACCATGGTTCCCCTCTACATAGGGTTTAGGGCTTAGGGGATATAATCCTAAACCCTAAACCCTAATCCCTAAACCCTAAACCCTTATCCCTAAACCCTACACCCTAACCCCTAAACCCTAAACCCTATAAGGGTTAAGTTATATAGGGATAATTAGTGTGTATCATGGTTCCCCTCCAATGGTTTATATACAAGAGTTGTATATGGATAATGGAAGAGAAAACTGGAAACCACTACTTACGGTTTAGAGTTTAGGGTGTAGGGTTTAGGGTTTCGTGTTTGGGGGTTTGGGGTTTAGGGTTTAGGGCCTACCCATCAAAAGGGTGGCTATGGGGCATATATAGCGGGATACAGGGTCTAAGGTTTGGTGTTTGCTGGGTCCCGTACTACCCACACTTTTACCTAACCCCCTCAAGGTTCCCAAAGGGTTGCGGTTTCCCAGCTAGGGCTTTGACTAAAGAACCCAAACTCAAACTTCTAACCCTCAGAACTGAACCCACCCAAAACCATAACCGACCCTCAAGAACGAACCAAACCTTACCAAACCTAAAACCCTTAGCCCCGAATCCTCAGACAAGGCTTTGGGATTGGGTGTCGACCTGCGGGCTTGTAGCAGATTCCCTCACAAGTGCAGGAGTGCTGAGGGTTTGGGATGAAACCACCATGAATCAAGACCAGAGTCCATTTGATGTTGCATGTTCTTCTCCATGTGGTTCTCCATCATTGAAGGAATACCCATATGTAACCCTACATGGCACTATAGATCCCTATGTTACCCCTACATCTCCATACTCTGCAGGGAACAAGGTCTGGGGCTCAGAATTTGCAACCCAACCTTCTGCTTCAAGGTTCAAGGCAATGCTTCTTCTACACGGTTTAGGGCTTAGCATTCAGGGGCAGTGGCTCAATCAGCTAAGGTCCTTAACCCTCAATCCCAAGCCCAATCTCCTAAAATAGGGGGAACCCCAATATAGACCCCCAAATACGATAATCCTTTCTATGGGGACCCCCCAAAAGATACCCCTACATTGAACCCCGGAGCCTGGCAAATGGATCGGAAAGTTCCAATCGTAGAACGCTGGGCCACTTCCCCGATGGATGCCTGGTAGGCCTCACCCATCATCAGGCCTCACGCTACGGGGTCTATCCGATGTAGGCGCCACCGACAAGTCGAACCAAAAAAAGACAGCATGACCAGAAAAAAAAAACGATAAGTACCGTCGCAGCTCAAAAAGCAGCAGGATGGTGAATGAGAGTAGCCTGGAAGCATCTGAAGCAGGACTGAAGCGCAAGGATCCGGCCTTTGACCCTGTCAAAGGGGTAGTTCACCGTCGCTGCAATCAGACCTGCCAAGAATACCTACTGAAGTCTAACACGGCATGTGAAAGGCCGTTTCTAAGACTTGGAGGCGGCACTTTCTACATTTCAAAACCAATACGCTACAGAACTACAATAGTGCAAAGACTCAAAACCACAAACTTGCTCACCCGACAATTTCAGAAACCCCCTCCCATATTGCTTGATGGCTTCGGGCATCACAGCCGCAGTGCTTGGGGAGTTGAGTAGCCAACCTGCGAACATGAAGCCCACGGTGCTGACAAAGAACCGCGTGCCCGAAGAGCAAGCCACTCCTTTACTGCTGCGTTGGGTTTAGGGTTCAGGTTTTGAGGTCGAGGGCTAGGGCTCAGGGTTTCAGAGTGGATTTGGGCGATTGAAGCTTGGAGATTAAAGCAAATTGCACTCCTGCAGCTCTTTTCTCATTGATGTAGAAGGTGTTGAACTTGCTGGCCATTTTACTTACTTGTTAAACTTTCCTGACATAATGGGCTGCATTAACCTGAGCACTGTGATGCTATTACATACTATGATCCAGCTTTGGCAACCCCGTCCAGCAGTGACAATTTCGGGGCACGCTATAGACCTATAGAGGGGGAGGAGGAGCAGCAGCAGCAGCAGAAGGAGGAGGAGGAGGAGCGGGTTAATTAATATAGGTCTATGCAGGGACTGTAGAGGGATGATAGAGACTGCAGGGTTACTACCCAATCATGGAGAATCCAATGGAAAATAGAAAACCCAATGGAGAGGGGGATTGTACAGGGATTTCGGGCTGAGAGCTTACTGTGGGTAAGGATATTAGGAAACACTCATGCCATCTACAACAGCAAATATAATACCGAAACAAAGTCTAGCCTGGATAAAACTTGAGCGTCTTGCTCCCTACATGGGTAATTGTCAAATTGGTCCCTTTTTGGGTACCCTAAATATTAGGTGCCGTATTATAAGAGGGATCCAAAAAGGGACCATAATTTTGACAACCACCCACATAGCTTCTAGATTGTAAATGGCACATACATCTCAAGCAAGACTCCGTCGTGCGCGACCCACTCCCTCAGCCGGCTGTTGTAGAAGAAGAGCTGACCATCAAAGAGCGATGTTCGGATTATCCTGGGTTGCTGGAACTTAAATTCAGTTACCATAATGGGTATATGTAGTAAATAATAGGGTTTCCCCAATATAGTAACTTAATTTAAGTTCCTTAACAGCAACCCAGTATCAAGGGCGTGGCCGCGTAAAACTTCAGCCTCAAGGGAGCCTGCCATGCTCCTTGCAGAACCTGGGTTTTTATGCAGACGCCTTAATGTTAGGTGGGACCCCCCACCCAGTAATAGTCACTATAAGGGATAATAGGGATTATATGAGGGTCCTCTTATATTCTTACTATACCACTAGTACAGGGTGGGGGGTCCTCCTAACGTTAAGGACTTGGGAAATTGCAAAGTTGAGGTCCAGTCCCGCTTATCTACTCCAAAACATCCGCCGACCTTGGGGGGCGTGTTGGATGGTTTCAGTAACGGAGAGGGTGAAAACCCTCTTCTTTTCTCCCTTACAGCCCAAAAACGCGGGGGGGGGGAGGGGGCCGGGGGGGGGGTAGGGGGG